GCGTCTGCATGCCAGCTGTAGCAACAGCTGAAAACAAGGAAAAATCATCACTCTGTGACTAACTTATTTCTCTGTGGACAGTCGGGAAGTTCTTGTTGGGCTGTAAGTGGTCAATGATCTGCAGTTTGAGAACTTTCCAGACCCCAAAGTATTTTCTTATATAACATTTCACTGTGAGAAGTGTAAGGTTGCATTCACAAGTGGATTTGTATTTCTTTCTTGTTGCGAAGGGGAGGGAATACATGCTCAGATGTATTAGAGGAACAATTCTGATTCAGTAGAAAGGGCAGACGCAGGGATTGCTTATGGCAGGAATGTAGTTATTGCGTGTGAACATGATTCGGAAAGAACCAAATATTTAACACAACATTGACCATGAGTGTGGTTCATTGGTATAGATCGGTTTCATGATTAAAGTCTGTTGAAAGAGCAAAAGAGCAGATCTACTAAAGTGAGTTGCAGACTGTTCTTATGCTTTTTCATGCTTCCTTCAGTCCTTGAAATCTTTACAGAACATCTTTTAGATTAATCAGAGCCTGCTTTGTCTTCACGTTTTCCTGTGCATTCCGATCCTGTCTCTTGGTCTCAAACAAGTGGTTGAACACTACATAATGGTCTTAGAATGCAACTAAATGGAAGTTAAATGTTACATATGCTTTTCCTTCTTTCCAGTATTAAATAATCAGTGTTTGGACAGAAGGCAGGTTTTTAGGAGCCTAGACTGAGCATAATCCTTTCTCTCTAAAAGGCCAAATAAATACATGTATGTTATGTATACATACACAGACATGCATGTTTTGGTAGAAGCTAATGACAGGAGTTGGAGTTAAAGTGGGTCCTTCTGTTAAATTTGTAGTCAGTACAGTACGTTTCATTCACTTTGAAAGATTTGACCAGTCTGAGAGAAATTTCTTATATTCCATGTAGCAACGTTGTTGTAGCTATGAGATCTGATGATATAAATACAGACAAAGTCTGTCAAAAGAGGCAATATATTTAAATTGACCTCTTTGTTTAGCTGGAAAGAAGCAAATACTGTGGCATAAGAAAGGCACACTGTGTTGGAACACACTATCCCATCCCCTGTCAGCTGCTTTAATGAAGATACCACCCCAACTTACAAATATCCTTTTCCCGAGTGAGGCAGTTATCTCCAGACTTCCAAGGAACTAGAAAACTGCAATATTACAATTGGCAGAGGATTTGGATAAACAGTTTTTCACTGAAAATCTGTTGAAAATGTGATCGCTGGGCTTTTTGCAATGCAATGTTTGATGTAATTCTTGTGGGGAGAAGATTCGGTCCCATGGAGGTTTGAACCTGCGATTCACTTTGAGTTCAGGGTCTAGGGTCCAGTTCATCAAAGAATCTTAAGAATTTAGTTCTTTTGATGGGAGTGTTTTAAGCTCATGCTAAAGTAAAGCTACTGCTTACATGCTTTTCTGAACTGGCATACTAGGTAGGGGCTAAAGGAAGATTAAATTAATTTGCCAGACTAAGTTGCACTGTGTGTTGTCCTGGCCATCTTGCAGTTTTTGCCTTGCAGCTGAACTAATTAATGGAAACAGTTTCTAGAAGCTTAATCATGTAAACCAATTTAAGGGGTAAGTAAACAACATAACTAGATTAAGATTTCAATCAAGTAAATACTGAAGGTTTCTACAAAAGACAAACTATTTCAATATTGTGTTACTTTTCCCTCATCCTTAAAAAGCAATAACTCTTAGCATAGACAATGAATTTTTCCTTCAGGCTGATTCTGATCCTACCCTCCCGGATCAGCTGACTGAGGACACTACAGAACCAAATATCCCATTGTAAACGCATCATCTTCAAGGCTCACTCAGAAATCTGTTGAGCTGGGAAATAGCTGCTTCTTTAAGTATATTTGCCTTCACAAGTGCATTTAGCACCCATGACAGCAAAGGGTGGATGATGCTGGAAAAATGCAGATAACAACAATTTGCCATCTCAGGTGCACGTTGGCAGAGCTGGGATCTAGGGGTAAAGATTAGCATTTGTGTGTGATTTAGACTGTATGACACTTCAAATCTGAAGAGCGTAGGTAACTCTCTGTCCTTGCAAAATACACATATCTGTTGCCATACAGACCTCATCACCTTGGCCAAAATTTCTGTCTCCCCTTATTGCCCTGTATGCCAATGCATTGTGTGTGTTGCAGGTTCTTGTTCAGCAGCCCAGGGGTGACCACGTGCCAGTGGTGCAGTTTATATAGTACCTTGTTTGTGCAGTCCTTGCAGTCTGTTAGGAAGAAAGACAACGTGTACGTTCAAAATACTGTTACAAAAGTAGGTTGCAATTTGATATGCTACAGAATTATATGCATGATTACTGTCTGTCCCATAACCTTTCACTTTGATTTCGATTTGTGGGTTTTTTTGGAAAGGTGTATCTGTGTCTAATGTTACAAAGTCTGGGCACCATATCTCACTAAAAATAATCTGGAAAATAGCGTACTCTAACTCTAAGCATGACTAATGGCAAATCTAACTAATAAAAGGGTAGCTTTTTTGCTACTTGCTAAACTGCGTGAGTTCATCTGGCACTGCTTCCTGATCGAGCTTCTCTGTGTCACTTGTCAGTGACCAAGAGGATTCAGAAACATCATCCATGAGAGGGCTTGTGCCCTGCCTTGAAAGAAAAGCCCTGAGCTTGTCTCTCCATGAGAAGGTGTTCCCTAAGGACCCAGTCTAAAATGTGTGATTCAACAGAAGCTAAATTGAGTCAAACACGTGTGCTCCTTCCCACTTTATTAACTCACTGCCATTTTCTTACTATTAAAGAAATAGTTAGAAATAACTGCCGGTTTTTGGTGTCTGCCATCCAAAGTAATGGTAGTGGCACTACCGCACTTCTTGTGGCACCAGAACATCATAGCATGATAAAGCTTTTATTTCAATACAGAATAATTATTTGGCTTTGGTGTTATGTTCCTTGTAGCTGGATATCCATTTTCATATGCTAACATATGTTTGTCCTGTTCAATAGCAATTTGTTCTGAAACTGCTTGCATGCCTGCTGGGCTAGCTATATGAATTCAATGCAGCATCCATTTTTTGCACCTAAAAATTATGATGTGGAAAACCAGTTTCAAAATCTAAAGCATTCAGAATGCTCTGTGCAGTTTTACAGGAGCAGCCAAGGGACTTTGGAAAAGCTAGACTTTGATTTGTATGCTACAATATATTTCAGTCAGATTATTAAAGTCTGTATCTGCCGCAGCATATTCTGGATCACTTCAGTATTACACAAATAAACTAAGTGCACAGCCTGGCAAATAATCAGATCAAGTCACCCGTGACAACACAGCTCAATCTTGGTTTCGTAGCTTAAAATAATGTTCCTTGCTTTCATGTGCTTCCTCATGTTAACAGCTGCAAGTGATAATCGTCTCTCTGAACCAACACTGCTCCTGAGATAATTGGTAGTAACACTTGTGTATAAATTTGTTAATATACTGGCTGTTAGTGCTGAGGTTCAGGAGATCTGAACTCTCTGGTTCAATTCTTACGGCTTTCATTGACTTGTACAGTAATTTGTGCACTCAACTCCTCTCTGCTTTCATTTGTAAGTCTAAAAAAACCAGGTAACTAAAGACAGCTCAAGAGGCAACTTAAGTTAGTGTTTTTAAGGTGGTTTGAGATCCTTGTGTTAGCATGCTGATGTCTGCAGCTAGTGCTTGTACAGAGATGATGATCATGGTTCATACAGGCTTGTCTGTGAGCAAGGGACTCCCACAGAAGAAAAACAAAGATATTGTGGTCTTAGTCTATAGGTGGGAAATATGATAGACTATAATCTATTGATTACAGAATCAGTATGAGAAACTTTTCTTCTTGCATAAGAAGTATCATTCTCTTGCGGCAAGACAGGTGAAAACAGTCAGGCTTTGTTTCCTAATGCCAGTTGTACAGGTCCAAGAGGTAGGAATGCTTTCCCCATGCCTCCAGTTTCCCATCACCCTAAACTTTATCTCCCCAAACCAGCAACTCAGCCCTGTTCCCCTCCACATCTCTGGCTGCACAGCCCACATCTCTGCTCCTTGCTCCTCATGGCTCCACTGTTTATCACCGGTTTCTTACCTGCTGCTATACACCTGCGCATCCCCCGTCCCTGCTCTTTCTCCATCTCCCTGTCAGAGCGAGGTTTTCTGCAGAGGGTCGCAGGATGGGGTTGCAGAGGGCTGTGGGGCCTGCGGCTGCGCCCCCGGCCAGCACGGTGGGGGCTGCCTGCCCTGGCACCGCCTGGCTGGACTGGGCAGGAGGAGGAGGAGGAGGAGGAAGGCCCTCTCTCTGCTCCTGTCTGAGCCACCTGAATTGCCCGGTGGCCGAGTGCCGGGCAGGCTCCTCACGCCTCTGCAGAGCAGGACTACGACAACGTAGAGTACCGCCGCTAGCAGCGGTGTCAGGGTTTACTATAACGTTTAATTTCCTCACTTTCAAACTCGTAGCAATAAGTTTTTAAAATTAAGCCTGGCTTAAAATTCCTGCCTTTGCCTATTTGGCTTTTTATTCTAGAACGGTCAAAGCCCGTCAGCAGCGGGCAGGGAGCCCCAAGGGCGGCCCCTCTGCTCCCCGCCCCTGCCCCCGGCTGCCCGCGGGCA